AAAAAAATAAAATAAAATCCATAGGATTACAAAGAAAACCAAATATGTTGACATATAGTTATCAAAATATTTTAAAAAATGTTCACTGACCCCAGGTTAAGACCCCCCCACCCCCACCCCCTTTCTAAGACTGAATTGCAGAGAGGATGTTGACTTGCATTGGTAGAGGGTATTTTCTTATCTGGGAATTCCCTATACCAGTGAAATTACAGGTCTGGACCCTGTACCTAGCCCTATTTATAGGATGTCTAATTGTAACTCAGGGCTCAAGGTTACATAACATTTTCATAGTTCTTTAGTATATCACTTTTAATTCGCTGTCATATGTAAACCTAATTTTTTTTTATCAAGTCACAAGGTTAGTTCAACCCTGTAGGACATAATATATGAACTTTTTGAAAATAATTTGATTTAATTATTTATAACCTAGATGAAAAAGAAGAAAGTTCATCGAGTAATTCAACACTTGCCAGGATTGACTTCAGACCAAAGAGAAAGGCAATACTGGTATCTATTCTTTTTTTGTAAAGAGAGTAAGAAGTATTGGATATAGATATATATAATGAATACAAAAATATGGCACATTTTTATGTGTGTTGTATAGTCTGAACTAGCCATGCCAATTAGCATATGTATCACTAACTCAAGGTATTAAGGCAGCTAGGTGGCACAGTGGATAGAGTCTTAGACTGGAGTTAGGAAGACCTGAGTTCAAATATGCCCTCAAACACTTATTACTAGTGTTATCTTTGGCAAATCATTTGACCTCATCTGTAAAATGGGGATGATAATAATAGCAACTACCTCATAAGGTTGTTGTGAGGATCAAATGAAATAATAATTGTAAAATGCTTAGCATAGTACCTGGTACATAGTAAGTACTATATAAATGTTAGCTATTACTATTTTAAAAAAATCTTATGTCACAGAACTTCAGAGTTTGAAGGGTTCTCAGAGAATATCTGATCCAACCCTTTCTAATATGGGGTGTCCACTAATTTCTGGGGCAGTCAGTTCCACTTTGGGACAGTTCTTATCGTTAGAAAGTTTCTTTTTCCCTTAAATCTGAAATTTCCCAGTTTTGTATTGCTTTTAGTTTTGCTTTCTGGGGCCAAACAGAATAGGTCTAATACCTCTTCAACAAAATAGACTTTAATATACTTGAAAAAACTAGGTGGCACAGTGAATAGAGTGCCAGGCCTGGAGTCAGGAAGACTCATCTTCCTGAGTTCAAATCTGGCCTCAGACATTTACTAGATGTGTGATTCTGGGCAAGTCACTTAACTCTGTTTGCCTCAGTTTCCTCATCTGTAAAATTAGCTGGAAAAGAAAATGGCAAACCATTCCAATATCTTTGCCAAGAAAACCCAAAAGGTGTCACAAAGAGTTGGACACAACTGAAAAGTGACTAAACAATGAACAAGTCGTGATCTTTCCCACTTTAAATCTTCCTAGTTCCTTTAGTTGGGCAACAGATGCCATATTCACCAGGACCCTCAGTATTAATGGTTATCCTTTGTTGTAGTATCTTGGGATGCTAGATTAATCATTCTTTTTCTGTTAAATATTGGTATTTATTTTGATACATGCTGGTAAATGTCAAGTACATTACTGCTACTTTTGCAAGGGACAACAGTATTTCTGTCCCTAGGGAGAAATTGTAGAACCATCTTGGCCTTGCCTCCTGCAAGTGTCTCTAAGGAGATAAGTATGGATCTCCTGTTGGTTTCAGGCAGAAATCTTCCAGCCTCTTCTGCCTCTTTGATTCATAATCTAGCTTCTCCCATCTTTGGGACTTGTGACCAAATCTTGTGTTGCTGAAATCTGATTGGGCTATGACAGAAGACAATGATTCTTCAGTCCCTTCTTCCATTTCCTTTCCTGTCTTCCAAGAGAAAGTGAGCCTGATGTCTTTCCCCAGAAGTAGAGGACTTATATTTGTTTCTTGAAAGGTTGTTTACCCTTCTATGTTGAAATGCCCAGCAAATAAAAAACTTTTACCTACTCTCATTGTTCAACTTCATATGTTACTGTTTGAATGCAATATCAAGAGGTATAATAGATTTTAAGTCCCAGTAGTTTGCCAGAGTGAGATGTCTGGCTTGGGGCATGGTGTCAGAAAGAGAGTAGTTATTCATTCATCTTTGCAGTTTTTGAAGGCAGAGAGAATACTTTTGATGGAGTTTCTTTAGACAAATGAATTAGCAACAGAGGCTTGGACAGTGACTAGCTAGACTGGCTTGGAGGTGGGAGTGGGAGCAGGAGATTTTACATTTTCGGAGGCCTAGTTTGAAAGAAAAGCCACTATTCTTTGGGGAAGAACCACAGGGAAGGCCAGAAAGTCACACCTAAGGGGAGAAGAGTAGCATGGCTCCCACAGAAAGATGTGAGGGAGTAAGAGTGACAGACATCTGCCTACCTTCTTACAAGCTCAGCAACACCACTGTGATGTAAGGATTCCCTCTTACCTTTTCAGCTCCATTTTCTTCTTTATTTATTCCTGGAAACTTTTCTTCCATTTTTTCAAGGAACACTTCATTTTCCTAGATAATCTGCAAAGATCAATCACTCCAGACTTTTCATTTTTTCCTCCTGGGATGGAAAAAAGGTTCCTGCTTTTCCAACCATGTACTAGCTAAGTGATGTTGAACAAGTCATTTAGCTAATCTAAACTTCAGCCTTCTCATGTGTAAATTAGAGGAATAATTATATTTGCACTCCCTATTTTATGGATTGTGAGCAAATTGCTTAGTAAATAGTAAAGGGATTACATAATTGTGAACTATTATATAAAGCAATTCTATTTGACCTTTAGGTAATAATATAATACAATAATAGAAATTCAACGGGAATTTTTGGGGAGTTTTGTGCAGCAAATGACACAGGAAAAGTTTAGAAACTCAGAAATGCATAAAATATGTATGTAGTATTGTATAATATCAACCCAAATTTTACAATAAATTACTGTAAACACCCCATAAAAGAAAAAGAAAAAAAAATTCAGACTTCTCTGGTACAAAAAGAGAGCCAAAAAATTTTACACAGATTTTTCAGATCACAAGAGTGCTGCATCCCTAACCCACATGATGTGGAAGGGATAACTACTATCATTGCAAGTCTAGGTAGAAAACAAAGATAGTAACAGAAAAAGTTGAACAAGGCAGAGTTCAAACAATGAGTGAAGAAGCAATCGGGAATAATAGGAAGAGAGCTGGATTTGAAAGAAAAGGAGTGGGGTTTAGATCATAGTTCTGTGTTTTCTTGGGCAGGACACTTCACCTCTCAAGGCTTCAGTAATCTGATCTGTAAAATGAGATAGGACTTGTGATGTTTAAGGTCCCTACTAGTACCTTCATATCTGTGATGTTTTTCTTTATGTTTAGTCAGTCAAAACAACTCTGGCTCTTGCCATGCTAAGGAAGATAATAATTGTTTCTTTTTTTCCCCTAAAAAGATTAACCTTTTTTATTAAGTATGTAAAAATCTCAGCTTTTAATCATTTAACCTTTGTGGCCTATGCTTTCTCTGTTTTAGTTGAGAGAAATAGAATTGAGGACCAAGAAGTTGGGGAATGGGTAGAATAAACTGGTAATTAACTTTGATAAGGTATGGAAGAGACAAATAAAAAGCCATCTCTATTCTAGCAATGTTACTTTATGTTGTTACTTGAATATCTATGTAAATATTCTTAATAAAACATTGCATTACATTGCATAGGTGTGAGCTATTGTAATTAATAATGCCTTGTCTCCCCAAGTAAGATTATACATAATGTCCTTAAGAACAAAGATGGTGAAACTCAGCATCTTGCACAGTATTTTGCATTTAGCACTCAAGCAAAGTGTGTTGATCCTGACTAAATGAAGAGTATTCCAGTGGCAATGCCAAATCAAAAGCAAAAAAAAAAAATCAGATTTCTAAGTAGCAGTCTTATAAAACCACTTAAAATATTGTATTTATCTTATGCAGGAATTTGATGACTGTGTGAGGAACAAATATTCTAAAGTTTCAGCTCTTAGAAGTACACAAAACTTGATGCAATTCAGGTAATTTTCTAGAATTAGAATTTTTAATTGTTGAAAGGAACAATAAGTCAGTAAATAACAAACTTATATTTGTACATTTTAGATCGTTGATTCTTGAGAAACAATCAAGCTATAAGCAAACATTTGACAAAGGAAGTACAGGTATCTGCTGTTCATATTTTTCCTTTGAATTAGTGGGGATAAGTTATTTCTAGATTTCACCCTGTACAAGTAATAGTGGCTTTTCAAAGTGAATGTTTAATTTACTTACTGTATATTTGATAGGATAAGATGAAGAAATGCTATTTACTTACATTATAATATTTTTTCAATTTCTATTATATTCTTAATTGCTCATACATTGATTTTTTTCTGGTATATTCTAATTTCTTCTTGATTTTTGAGCAGAGGCAGGCATACTTGGATTTTGGGCCATCTATTTAATCGAGCTTCCACAATTATTAAAAATTAGTTCAATAATATAAAAAGTAACAATGACAGTTTTTCATTGGCTTATGTAGTTTATATCTTCCTATCTATTTGATGATAAAATAGTGGGTCTTGATATTGGTGTTATGAAAAACACCACGTTCTTTGTATTGTAAAGACATTAGAAAAATTCAAATAATGCAATGACTTGTACTAATAATTTGTTTAATAAGTATTTTATTATTTTCCTTGAATTAAATTCAGTTAAATAATTTGTCCCAATACTATTAGTTTATCTCTCCTTCCATCATTATAGGAAAGATGAATGTGTCATAAAGCAATGGAATATTGTCATCTGTAAGGAGAGGGGGAAAAAATCATGTCATTATCTCATGTATGTTCTATTCTGCCCCTCTGTAGTCTTCATTCAGTGTAACAGAGTAGGACTAGGAAGAAATGGGCTAGAGTCAAAGAGTAGAGGCCTCTGGTAGCAGTTTTGTAGAGGGGTTATAAAGGGAGGCTGTTATCTATGTGAACTAGATATATGCATAGATAACTATCTTATTCCTATATCATCTAAAAAGAGGACAGAAGGGTTACATCTTGCAAAGTACATAAATAACTCAGATTGGAAAGGAAGAGCAATTCTATAAATCTACAAGAGCAGAACCTTTAATTTTCATTTACCACCAAGCCTTTCTTTTTAAGAAGTTAATATATTATGCAAACAATAGTATGTTCTTGTTTAACAAACACAGATTCTGAGTGTGGAGAAAAAGAAACAGAAAGAGAATTAAAAGATTCACCAGATATCCCACAAGTAAGTATTTGGTTCAAATCTATTTAAAAAAACTTTAACTTGAGAACTATTAAATTCAGTTTGAAAACACACAATTCTGCTAGTGCTCTCATTTCATTAATAAAAAAACATTTTAAAATTCTTTTTTTCATCTCTTCTAGGGACTATAGTAGAATTTGTGTACATGCTGTGTTTTCTCTTTTGTTTAGATGTTTGGAGGCATTCTCTTCTTTTGGGTTTGTGTCTTGAGAATTACTATCACCATAATAGTGGTGGGATACTTTTTTTGTTTGCTCATTCTTCCAGTCTGCTTTCGGACTCCAGGCTTGATGTTAGGACCAGGCTCTGTGTATTTCTGTAGGGAAGACCTGGATTAGTCCTATTACGCTTTCTTGGGATATTGAGTATTGTGCTGTTCCAGGATCTCAGGGACAACTCAAGCTGGGGACTTGCAAGCTTTCAGTGCTCCCATAGTGGTCTGAACCAGGGTTAAGTGTGCTCATCACCACCCCCATCTCCCTTTCCCGAGCTCTGCAACTTCCAAACCATTAGGCTTGGATCTCAGCAACAGTAGACTGCTACTGGGCTCAGTCAGTTTCCTTTGATCTGGGATTTCTGTACAGAGTGATTCCTCTGCTGCTTGCTTCTGAACTTGCTCCTTTCTCCGTATACTGCCTAGGGCCTTCCTATCCAGAAACACCACCCTGGTGCATAAATCCCCCCCCCCCACTCCATGCACTGTGAATCTGTGACCTAGAATTGAGTAGAATGTAACAAAACTGTCAATTAGCACCTGTCCCCATTGGGGTACCCTGATATGAGTCTGGGACCTTCTCTTGCCTTGGTGCACAGCTTCCCTCTGGGTGCTGGAGTGCCCATGCAGGAAGCTCTACTGGTTTAGAGTAACAACTACAAATACTACAAATCCCCTTAGGTCTGGGATTACCCCCCTGGTTATTTCTCTGAAGGTTTTACCTACTTTTTTCTGCATACACAACCTAGGGCCTCCCTACCTGGGAATGCAGTTCCCCTCATCACCTTTCCTGAATCTGTGACCTGGAACTAGGTAGTAGATAACAAAGCTGCCAGTCAACACCTTTCCCCTATCATGGCGCCTCAGTATGGGTCGATGACCTCCTCTTGCCCTGAGACACAGTTTTTTCCTATGTTCTGGAATATTTCTTGGGACTCCTAGCCACACCCTGTCTCCAGTATCCACAGACAGACCTCTCCTATCCATAAACAGACCTTTCTGTCTATTTCTCTATGCTGACCTCAAGTAGAAAAATGATTCCCTGTGACTTTGTCTTGGGTTTTCCCATCAGGATTCAGTCTGGTGCATTTTCTAGATCCGTTTGGAGGAGTTTTAGGGATTTGTTCTCTGTGCTAGTCCTTCTCAGCTATCTTGGCTCCACCTCACAAATGAGTTTATATTTAAACTACTCTTACCTCAGATCCAATGTTTGCTAATCGAGTTGATTTGGGCGCTCCTTTGTTCTTCTCATTATGGATTACTATAATTTATTTCTTTATAAGGACTCAAAATATTTTGTGTTATTTCATTTATTACTGTAAAATTTATCTGATAGTTTTCTATGCATTGTGAATTGACAGGATGGCCACAGAGAACACATGGGCAAATTAGCAGAGGATAATCATGATGAAACTGAAGAAAACACTGAAAAATTTCCAAGTACTCCTGAAATGCCTCAATTTTTAAGAACTCCTGAATTTTTGAAAACACCTGAATGTGTGGAGAAATTAGAGTTTTCTAAAAGTCCTTCATCTGAACTGTAGGGTTTTATTTTCCTTCATGTTTCATTATTTGTGTTAAAGATTTGCTTTAGTTTAGAAGTATAATTGGTATAATAACAATACATCCTAGTGCCTATAGATTTTTATATGAAAATTCCAAAGAAGTAAATGAAGTGAATGATTTTCTCCTTTTTTGTAGCTAAGGAAACAAACAACAAAAGAAAATAAGTAATTGAGCCAGGGTCAAAAAGGAAGTCAGTATTACTAAGAAGTTGTGCTTCTCTATCTCCTGATTTAACATGTCTCGCATTACTTTTCCTAACAGATTTAATTATCTTGAAGGAGCAAATGTGGATAGAGAGCCAACTTTGAAGCCAGGAAGACTAGGATTCAAATTCTGCCTCTGATGCAAACTGGCTGTGTGACCCTGGGCAAGTCACTGAATCTCTCAGTGACCTAGGAAATGCTTGAAGACTATAATTTGCAGCTAAGATGCTGATCTGCATTAGAGGATCCTCATCTGGGATTCCTTATATCAATTACATCTAAGTCTAGTCTCTATCCTATTATAGATTAATGATTTCATACAGAATAAACAAAAGATACCATCACATACAGATACCATTGTGCAACCCACTGAGGAGTCCCCCACCCATCTGCTTTGTTCCATATTATAGAACATGAAATTGCAGTTGTAATTTGTTAGGCACCCTATTGGGAATATCACGTAATATTGCATATAATATTATATATCACATAAACATTCACTTAAAATCCCATACTTTGGAGATAATAGGTCAGCAGGATGAAATAAATAATGCCTTTATCTTTTAATTTAGTATAGTCCTTTCTGTGATGCCAAAACTGCTCAAATAGAAATATCAAATAAAAACAGAATTGCTGATTTTTGTGTGTTTTCTACAGCTTTCCTGAAACTATTTTCTCATTTTTTTATTCTCTAGAGTTTTTCAAGTAAATATTTCTGCTTATTTGTTGCTAATAGTTAGTCCCTTAACTTCTTTTCTTTTTTATTTCTATAACTAACATTTCCAGTGCTATAGAGAAAAAGAATGACTTAGAGTTAAAAACCTGGATTCACATCCTGGTTCTGTCTTGCGAGTAGAGATTATTTCATTCATTGTGTTTGTATTCCCAGCACCTAGAAAAGTGCATTGCACAGAAGGAACTTAATGACTTTGTGTTGATCAATTGATTCTTTGCAATTGATATTGACCAAATCACTTAACCTCTTTGGACCCTAGTTTCTTCATCTATAAAAAATGAGAGGATTGGATGCATTAGATTACCACTTAGGTCCCTCCTATCTCTAAATCTGTGATCATAGTAACATTTCTATGTATTAGGAATTTTTTTTACTTGTATTCACCTGTTGCTCTAAGGTCTTCAGTTTGGTGCCTATAAGACTGTACTTTCTACTAGTATTTTGTACTAATGCTTTCTAGTTTCTTCCAAAAGTAGCTGTTTTCCCAATTCCCTTATTTCTTTATTGACACCTTTAGTGACACCATCATCCCAGTCCACATTCGAAAACCTTCAACACTTTGACCTCCCTTTTATCTACTATGTCAGATTTATGATCAATTCATATTGATTCTTCCAAAATGTTTTTTTCGGATGTATCCCTTCCTCTCCAATCTTGGTGACACCACACTTGTCCAGGTTTAAAAACAAATTGTTCAGATATTTCAGTTCTGTCTAACTCTTTGGGACCCCATTTAGGGTTTTCTTGGCAAAAATACTGGAGTAGTTGGCCATTTCCTTCCCTAGCTCATTTTTCAGATGAGGAACTACTAAAGCATACAGAGTTAAGTGACTTGCCCAGAGTTACACAGCTAGTAAGTGTCTGAAGCCAGATTTGAACTAGGGAAAATGAGTCTTCCTGACTCCAGGTCAAGTACTTTTATCTACTACGTCACCTAGCTGCATGGACAGGCTTTATATCTGGATTACACAATAGCATTTCATGTTACTACGGGAAATAATTCAATCCTTAAGCAATCTGTCATTTTATCCACGTTAGTGTTCTCTTCAATGCAAGTAGGTGATGTAGCTGAAAAATTCATTTCCCTGAAGCCAACGTGGTAATGAATTTCTCTGAAATTAGCTAGGCTAATCTAAATGAGATATATCCTTTGTTATTACTGTACATGTAATATATCCACCTTTTTTATGAAGCCTTTCCAGTTTGATGGGATCTACCAGAATTTTCTCTAAGTTGTCATGGCTTTTCAGAACCCAGAGTAACCTTCATGCCACCATAAGACATCAGATTAGGTCTTTAGTGAAAGAGACTATAAATCTAATCATTCTAAAACATTGTTTTGGTCATGTTCTCTCTTGCCCAAGAACCTACATTTCCAATTGAACCAAACTCCTCTGACTGGCTTTCAAGGCCCTCAGTGATGGACCCCACCCAAAGTAAACACCCTTATTTCTCATCATTCCATAATTCATCATCTGGTCTGATTACTCATATGTTTGTGGGATGTGTGATAGTGGGGATTCCTCAATTTATGAGATAGACTGGATAGCAACTGCATTCCCTCCCAATTCTCAAATTCTGTGGTACTATTTAGTCTCCTCACTATTTTCCCTTCACATCCTGCTGCCTTTCACTCACCATACACTTGCTTATGTTGCTCCCACAACCTGGAATGTTCTTTCTGTCCCCTTTTCCTATTTATTTAAATTTTATTTATCCTTGAAGGCCCAGATCAAGACCTATTTGGTCATACTTTCATTGATTTTTCCCTTCTCTTAACTCTAACACACTCAGTCTGTACTACATTACTTACTGCATTTTTATTATTGGTTTATTGGTTTTATCCTTGTCTTCCTAATTAGTAGTAAGTTCACTGAAGCTAAGACTGTGTTCTGTATCTCCTGGGTACTTAGAATAGTGTTAGGCACTCAATAAATGCTTGATTTATCAGAAAGTTTGTCTAATGGCTTGTTCACAGTTAAATAAGAGATGAATATGTACAGAGATGTTTGGGATGGTTCTCTTTAAAAATTGTTTATAAGAATATAACAATAACTTCTCTGTTTACATAACAGGCTTAGAAATATAGGACTTGAAGCCAAATCACAAAAGACACCACATGCATTTTCTTTTCTTATGGGTTCTTCCACATCACCTGGATTTAATTTATTTGAGTCTTCTGAATTTGGAAATGAAAACTTGCCAGATCAGGTAAGAACATTTTGTTCTTTTAAATTATATATTGTCTCAGTTGATAGATGCCCACTTTGTTTCCAGTTCCTTGATAACACGAAAAGTGTTGTTAAAAATATTTATGGATATATGAGACCTTTCTCCCTGTCTCTGACCTCTTTGGAGTATATGTTCAATCATGCATTACTTGGTCAAAGCATATGTACAAGTTAATGACTTTTCTAGTGTAATTCCAAATTGCTTTGCCCTAATACATATACAGATACATTGCAGAATATAATACTGGGCCAATTCATAGCTCCACAGTTCCTCAAAAATTTGCAGCTTAGGCCTTTTGTCCTATTTGCCAATCTGTTGTGTGTGAGGTGAAATTTCAGTTGTTTTAGTTTTCCCTTTCTCTTATTATTAGTGATTTCAAAAAATTTTTCATATAGTTATTGATAGTTTGCATTTTTTCTTTTAAAAACTGCCTATTCATATACTTGAACAACTTTGATCTGTGGGGGAATAGTTTAACAGTTTATATTTTACTGAGATTGATCACTTATCTTATTATTCAGAATACTTGGCTCTTAATGAGTTTTAGATGTTTCAGAAAATCAAATCCATTCTTAAGTGCTAAAAATTTGCTAACACACAGAATATTCAAATGAAATAAAGGAGACGATTCCAAAGGAGGAGTTACAAAATTTTTTTGAATAATTTATTTATTTTTTAAAAATTTCATTTTAAATTAAATCATTTTAAAATGTTACATCTTTCTTCCATCCTGTCTTTCAGTTTATGTATTTTAAATTTTACAAGTATTTAACACTTGCTTAATTCTCCCATATTTTGAAGTATACATATAAATTCAACTTTATACACAGGGAAAAAGTATTGAAAATTGTTCTTAGATTTTAGTTTTACTGTGTATCATTCTACCTCAAATGTTTGATCCAGCAAGCTTTCCTTCCGAATGACAGGAGAATTGAATATAACTGTAATTATACTTCACTAGCATTTATAGTCAATATATTTAATACAGAATAAGTACTATTTTTAGTAGCATCAGCATGCAAATAAGTGTACTTCATGCTACCATGGAGGCACAGGTTTTTTTTTTAAAGTTTTTTTTTTGGGGGGGGGTGAGGCAATGGAGTTAAGTGACTTGCCCAAGGTCACACAGCTAGTAAGTGTTAAGTGTCTGAGGCCGGATTTGAACTCAGGTTTTACTAACTCCAAGGCCAGAGCTCTATCCACTGTGCCACCTAGCTGCCCCAAGGCACAGTTTTAAGGCCAATTCATTATTGTATATTTTTTTTTACTCCTTACCCCAATTTTTACAAGGATTAAGTCCAATATGAAAACCATAAAGGATTGTATTATACTTTTATTTAGTTTCAAATATGTATTTTATAATTATTTTATATTGCTCTTACAAGTTAAATTTAATGGAAATTATTTTACAGTTTGATGAAAATTATTCTTCAGGAAATTTAAATCCTGCCTCCTCACAAAAAGATATTGGTAAGCATTTTATTAAGTATAATAGCCTTGACTTGAAGTTTGTTATCCATTAAAAATTCAGTTCAGTTCAACAGATATTTAATAAATGCCTTCTGTTTGCTAAGAAATTTGCTAAGTACTGTTATTAGGAATATAGAGACAAAAATAGAACAGTACCTTCTCTTGAGGAACCAACAGTCTACTGACAGGAATACCACATGTAAACAAATGAATATAATGCAAAGCAAATTGAGGAGAAGAACTTTAACTTGGGGACCAGGGAAGGCTTAAGGAAGGAAGTGACACCTGAGTGAATCCCTGAAGGAAGTCAAAGATTCTGAGAGATGAGATGAGAAGGTCATGTATTATATACTTAGGTGATTGTCCAGAGGCAGAAGTTGTAGTTTTGAATTCTGGCAAGCTAATTTGGCTAGAACATAGTTTGTAAAGAGGAGTAGGAGGAAATAAGGTAGGAAAGGTAGGCAGAAGTCACCCTATAGAGGGTGTGAAATACTAGGCTGAACAGTTTGTACTTTATCCCAGAGGTATTGGGAAGCCTCTACAGGTTTTTGAGCAGGGGAGTGACATAGTAGTCAAACCTGAATCTTAGGAAGATAATTTAGGGAGTTCTAGGAAAGGTGAGAAACTAGAAGCAAAGAGACTGATTAAAATAACAGAAACAAATAATAGGAGCTGACATTTATATGGCTTTTTAAGAGAAGACATAGCATCGAAGAGGTAGTTTCAGAGTCTAGAAGTTCTGGGTTCAGAAGTTCCATCACTGACACATACTGGCCCTGTGGTCTTGGGCAAGTCACTGACCCTGTCAGTATTTCTGACAACTTTCTAAGCCTATAAGTTACTGACAAGTTGCCTAGCTGTATTGCTAGCAAGGAAATCACGTCTGCTTCAATATATAACTCTTTAAAATTTGCAAAATGTTTTACATGTTACCTCATTGGATGAATAAAGACAAATTAGGAAGCTACTTCAAAAGTCTAGGTAAGAGGTGATGAAGGCTTGAATTAGAGTAGAGTTGTATGTATGGAGAGACGGAAATTGATATAAGAAATATTAAGGTAGGACTGAAAAGATTTGTCTACTGATTAGGTGTGGATGACAAAGGACAAAGAAGAGTTAAGAATGACTAAAGTTTTAAACCTGGGTGACTTGAAGGATGATGGTGACCTTAATAGAAATAGAAAAGTTTGGAGAACTGAGTTTAGGGGGGAAGATAATGAATAGTATATTAGACATGTTGAGTTTGGAATACTGATAGGAAATCCATTGTAGGTGCCAGCAAGCTGCTAGCAATGTACAGAAATTCAAGAGAAAAATTGGAACTGGATAGATAGATTTTGTAATCAATCAGTCAGTCAGTCAGTAAACATTTATTAAGCACGTGTTCTGTGCCAGGCACTGTACTAAGTGCTGGGGATACAAAGAAAGGTGAAAGGCAGTTCTTATTCTCAAAGAGCTTACAGTCCAATAGGGAAGACACCATGCAAAGAACTGTACAGATAAGCTATATACAAGATAAATTGGAAATAATAAACAGAGATTATTTCTTAGAAGTAGGAGGGATGGGGAAAGGCTTCGTGTAGAAGCAGCGATTTTAGCTGAGGCTTGAAAGAAGTCAGGGAAGCCAGGAGGTGGAGATGAAAAGGAAGAATATTCCACGTGTGGGGGACAGCCAGTGAAAACACCTGGAGTAAGAGATGAGGTGTCTTTTTCTTTCTTTTTTTTTTTTGAAGTGTCTTTTTCAAGGAGAGACCAGTGTCATTGGATCTCAGAGTATGTGAGGGGTTGAGGAGGATGGTATAAGAAGACTTGATAAGTGGAGGTGGGGCAGGATATGAAGGACTTTGAGCAGAAGATTTTATATTTGATCCTGGAGGTGACTGGGAGTCACTGCAATTTATGAAGTAGAAGGATGACATGGTCAAGCTTCATGGTCAAGCTGAGTGGAGGTCGGACTGGAGTGGGGAGAGACTTGTGGCAGGCAGACTATCTGGCAGGCTGTTGTAATAGTCCAGACATGAGTGATGAGGGCCTTCACCAGGGTGGTAGCAGTGTCATAGGAAAGAAGGGAGATGTATGCAAGAAATGTCATGAAGGTAAAATCCACAGGCCCTGGCAACAGATTGAATACGGGAAAGGAGAGAGAGTGAGGAGTCAAGGATGACACCTAGGTTGCAAGTCTGAGAGACTGGCAGGATGATGCTGTCCTCAACAGCAACAGGGAAGTTTGGAAGAAAGAGAGGTTGAAGGGGGAATGATAATGAGTTCACTTTTGAACATGTTGAGTTTAAGATACCTATAGGACATCCACTTGAAGATGTCAAATAGGCAGTTGAAGATGGGAGGATAGAGGTCATCAGGGAGGTTTGAGCTGTATACACAGATTTGAAGCATCAGCTTCAAGATGGTCATTGAATCCATTGGAGCTGATGAGATCATCAGGTGAAATAGTATAGAGGTAGAACAGCAGGGTGGATCCTTCAGACACTTAATAGCTATGTGACCCTGGACAAGTCCTCTGTTTGCCTCAGCTTCCTCAACTGTAAAATGGGGATAATAACAATACCTACATTGCAGGTTTTCTGTGAAGATCAAATGAGATACTATTTAGAAAGTACTTAGCACAGTGCCTGTCAGATAGTAGATACTATATAAATGCTTATTCTCTCCCTTTTATCACCTGTGGGACACTCACTATTAGCAGAAATTGAGGAGGTGAGACAATTGGGAAAACCAGGAGAAAGAAATACACTGAAAACCTAGAGAAAAGAGAATATTGCGGAGAAGTGGGTGATTGACAGTGTTAAAGACTGGTCGTGAAGAATGAGAGTTAAGAAAAGACTGTTAAATTTGGCAGTTAAGAGATTGTTAGTAAGTTTAGAGTGAGCGGTTTTGGCTGAATGATGAAGCTGGAAGCCAGACTGCAGAGAATTAAGGAGAGTGGAGGCACCTACTATAGGAGGCCTTCTCAAGGAGTTTAGCCACAAAAGGCAGGAGAAATGTGGAACAATAGTTAGCCAGGGGGGAGGGATCAAGTGATGGTTTTTTGAGGATGCAGGAGACATGGACATGTTTGTAGACAGTATAAAAGCAGCCTGTACATAGAAAGAGATTGAAGATAATTGAATGAGTTGGTAAAATAGAGGGGGCAGTCTGCTAGAGCAGATGGAATGAAAAGGGATCACTTGTGCATGTAGCGGGGTTTGCTTAGGCCAGGAGAAGAGGTGAGGAGAAGATAGTGATAGAGGCATCTGAGTGAAATGAGATTAAGAGGAGGAAGAAGAGGGAGCTCTCAGTGAATGGCCTCGATCTTTTTTTTTTAGTAAAATATGAAACAAAGTTCTCAACTGAGAAGGGAGAGGGAGAATGAGCCATGGAAGGTTTGAGGAGGGATGAAAAGATTTGGAAGAGCTACTCTGATGAGTGAGGTAGTAAGTTAATTAGAGAAGTGTAAAAGGATTGCCTAGCTGCAGTAAGGGCCTAGTTGAAGTTATATAACAAATTTCTAGTGGACCCAGTCAGCACAGTTTCATGATTTTCTCAAGTTTTATTCAGCATCATGTGTTTAGAAACAAAGGCAAAGGATGATACAAGTGATATGAGTCTCAAGCTTGGCAGGCAAGATCTGTGCTACAATAAGGGAACAAAGGACACAAGAGAAGAGGACAGTGTAATGTTGAACTGGTTCACTAATGAGTCAAGATGGAGAAAGGCTCAGGGTGTACAAGGTGATGGCCTGGGAAGGAAATGAAAGGTTGAGGGATTGGAGGTCAGTTTGGACGAAGAACAGAGTTGGGCATGCAAGGCAGAGGGAGAAGTGGAACTATGATAGATGGTGATCAGATAAGGGAATTTCAGGGTTCATGAATACGGAAGAAGAGTGTTTATAGATGATGGCAAGATGGCAAGAGATGACAATTGAATAAGAGAGGATGATTGAATGCCTACAGGCAGAAGAAAAAGGAGAGGAGAAAAAAAAGGACCAGGACAAAGCTTCAAGGGAGACCTTCACTAAGAAGGTGAGAGATGTATGATGAAGTAGCAAAGGCTAGAAGAAGAGTGGTCAGAGAGGGAGGAGAACACCCAGGAGAGAGCAGCAAGAAGAAAAAAAAAACTGCAGAAGGGAAAAAGAGGATTAGGGCTAAGAAATTGGGAAATGGGATTTAGTAGTTAAAAAATCATTGGTAATTTGGCAAAAGCAACTTTAATTGATTGGTAGGGTCAGTAGATGGGTTTTGAGGGAGTGAGAAGTGAATAAGTAGTGAAGAAGTATAGGCATAAGAGCAAATTACTCTCGGGAAGTTTGGTTGTGAGAGAGAGAATGGATATCAAATTGATGTCAGGGGACAGCAGTATTAAATGAAGGGGTTTATTATTATTTTTTTTTATTTAAAGATTGGAAAGATAAGTGTGTCTTAGGCATCTGGGAAGAAAACAGTGTATAAGAAAAGATTGAAGATAAGAGGAAAAGATGGCATAATCAAAGGGGAAAACTCCTAAAGGAGACAGCAGATGGGATCAAAGGCACAAATATAGGGGTTGGCCTTGTGAAAAGGGCCACCTCTTCTTCAGAGACAGCAGCAAAGTAGGAAAGAATGGGGGACAATGTAAAGGGCTTTTGATGAGTGAAATAGAGGAAAAGAAAGAGCTTGTGATAGTCTCTATTTTGTGATTAAAGTAGGAGTTAAGGTCCCCTGCTGATAGAGAGTAGAACTTGTAGAAAATGTGAGGAGAAAAGAAAAGGTTTGGAATGACTACTGTGTGATCAAGAATTAATCAGGGAAGAATAAAATGACTTCTAAACATCTGTGAGGGCCCAGCTAAGATTAGATAACATAAATTTGTAATGAACCTAGTTGTCACGGTTGTATGACTTCCTTCATTGGCATTACGAGGTGCGTGAGTAGAAATGGAAAAGGCAAATGCTGTGAGTAAATCTGGGATTCTAGCAAGGTATGAATGAAGAAGAGACAATGGACGAGGGAATAAAGGGTAGAGAATGGGGTATAGTTAAACTGATTAAACTCTCAGCTCAAGACTGAAGGGAGCAAAAGTAAAGCCAGATCATTGGTGATGGACTAGAAGAATATGGAGATCTTGGAGACCATGGCAAAGATGAAGAAAGGTTTAGGATGAGAAAGGTACTGATGCGAGAAATGGAAGGATAGAAAATTATGATTGGAGAGATTCAAAAGTTCAAAATCATGGTGGTAGCTTGAGATTTTGAGATGTGTGGAACAGGGGAACAAGAAGCAGCGAATAGGATCAGAGAAACCAAGCTAAAGGGACCACAGAAGCTATCTAGTTCAAGACCCTCATTCTGAAGTTGATGAAATTAAGGTCTAGAAGAGTTAAGTGACTTGCCCAATGTCACACAAGTAGTAAGCAAAAGAGATGGGATTTGAACCCAGGTCCTCTGACTCTAGAACCAGGCATCTTTCCAGTACACCATCGTGAGAGATACTTCTTTTAGGATCCTGCCTCTGTTATCCAGTCTTATCTATCTTTCTCAACATTATGTCATCCACAAATATAAGTATGTTGCATGTACCTTTATCTGAGTCTTTGCTGAAAAAATATTAAACGGCACAGGACTAAGAATGGATCCCTAGGGCACTCCACTAGACACCTCTTGCCAAGTTGATACTGAACAACTTATGACTACTCCTTAAGTATGGCTACGCAAATAGTTGTGAATCCATCTAATTGTACTTATCAACTAGACCATTTTCAACAAGAATGATTTAAAGTACTTAATCAAATGCTTTGCTAAAATCTAGGTAAATAGCTTTCCCCAGATATACCAGTTTAGTTGCCTCGTCAAAAAAGAAAATAAAATCAGTATGGCATAACCTGTTCTTGATAAAGCCATTCTGGCTCTCTGTCATTTTCATTTACTTTTCTAGATATTCACTAACCATCTCTTTAATGATTCATTCTATAATTTCCTCAAGAATTGAAATTAAGCTCATTGGCCCATAATTAGCAGACTTTATCTCTTCCTTTTTAGAAAATGAGATAACATTTGCTTTTCATTTGTCCTGAGAAACCTTTCCTGTTCTCCCTAAGTTTTTAAATATTACTGACCAGGGCTCAACAATCACTGCTGCCAGTTCTTTCAGTGCTTGAGAATGTTGTTCATCTAGGCCAGGTGTCTTGAACTCATCAAAAACAAATAGCTGCTCTCCTCCTATCTCCTTAAGTAGCTTGTATATTAATTCCCTGTTAGTACATTTTAGAATTCTGTCATTTCAAGTGTAAAAGTTATTCTTGGCCAAAAAAAAAATAGAAAAGAAGAATAAAAATTGAACAGTTCTGCCTCCTCTCTGCTGTCCTTGATCATCACCTCATGAACTCTAATAAGTGATCCTATCCCTGTTTAATCTACCTCTTTGCCGTAATACAGCCAAAGCAGAACAAATTAAAAACCTCTTTTTTGTTGTACTTAGCATTCTTTACCAACCTCTTCTCATTCTGAACTTTAGCATTTTGGATACTACTTTTATAGGACCATGCCACAGTTTTGTGTTTCCTCTGTTATCTGTCCTTGCTTCTATCTTCTGTATAACTTCAATATCTAAGTTGACTGGTAAAGTCCTTGTGAAATCCACATCAGTCTTTTCAGATAATACCCACATTTTTTGATCAGAAGCGTTTTTCTTTGCATCTTGAGAATGTAATTATTGAGTTTCCAATTATTCCTGAGCTGACTTCTCTAGAATTTTAGTTCATGGGATCCCATAAAACTCTTTTCTCATTCTTTTGAGATCTGTGCTTCTAAAATCTAGGGTGCATGTCAGTCCACGCCTGACTTTCTTCTTCTTCTCTCTCACTCTCTATTACAAACTCTGGAGGGAGTTAGCACTTCTCCCAAAGTTCCCATCATTTCTACCTGTGCAACCTGTTCCTTTTTGTTCATGGAATCCTTAATAGAATTTCCCTTTTGTTGGTTCTTTCACCTTTTGAAAGATGACATTTTAATTTTGGTAAGTTAAGAAGCTATAAACATCTATGCTCTTGACAGAGAGAGTACCTCCAGCGGCTACTTTGATAATAGAAGTCCCCTGTGACTATTATATTATGTCTTTATGATAGGCTTATGATCTCTTTCTTAAACTCCTCATTTATTATCTCTTTCTGTCCAAATGGTCTATAGTATATGGAGTGTGTAGGATGTTCAGGGAGGACTGGCATCTCTGCTGTGAGGTTTTCCAAGTCCTTTTCAGGGCTGCTTATCTACCTTTGGTGTCCACCTGCCACCCAACTCTTACCTGCGGTTCCAGGAAGCTATCACATGCTTAGTGGCCATACCCTGCTAAAATCATCTTGCAGACAGACTAAACCATGTTCAGGGTAACCGATTGGCCTCAAACCTGTCAGTTAGTTAGGGGGATGTCTACTTCAAGCCTGTGAAGACTTTTTATTGGTGGAATGAGTGGATGAGAACAATTTATTTTAACTGCCATGAAGGTGGCTGAAACAGGTGCTATGGAGTGCTCAGAGTTTGGTCAGGCATCAAAGATGCCAAGGTCATCCACTACATCCCAGGCCATCGCTAGTTGTCTTGATTTTGTCTTGCCACTGGACTTGGTGACTCTGGAAGAGAGAGTGAGGCTGGCAACTTTGTCCAACTCTCCCTCACTGAAATCCAATTCACATGCAAGTCATCACCTGTGATACTGGTCCTCTTCGAAAATGAAGGACCACCACCAGCACCAAGTATAAACTGATGACAAAATTTCGTCTGTTTTCCCTCCATTGATCTTCTCCCAAATTCTTTCTACTATGCCAACACACTCTTGTTCCTAGATTTTATCCAATTATATATTATATATGTATACATATATATATATAATCTTCTTAATATACATTATCCTGCCTCACCTCTCTTTTACCTATTCAGTTTCTTTTGAATAGTTTGCCCCTTCAGAAGCATATTCCAGTAATGAGTTTCATGGCACCAAGTTTCAGTATTATCAAAAACAAAAAACGGCTATCTCTCCAAAGATTTTAATAGCATTATTTTTTGGGGGGGCAGGGCTAGGCAATGGGGTTAAGTGACTTGCCCAGGGTCACACAGCTCGTAAGTGTTAGGTGTCTGAGGCTGGATTTGAACTCAGGTCCTCCTGAATCCAGGGCTGGTGCTCTATCCACTACGCCACCTAGCCTCCCCAATAATATTATTTTTAATGTTTATTGATGCTGGGGTTTTTTTGCTTTTTGCACTATAGCCAAGTCCCAATACATGCCATTTCTATAGGACTCTTCCTTATAAGAGAGAAAAAAAGTCAAGCAAAACTATCTAACAATACTTTTCTTCCTTTTGCTTAGTGTTGTATTTTCTTATCTATTCCGGGCAATTTTCCCTAATTAATTCCTTAAAAGAAATATGGTAGGTGAAGGGGGATAGGAAGCATTGGATGTAGCATCCCTCTTAGATACACTCTGGCTCAGTGTATTGTTTAGGTTATTATCTGTTCAAAACCACAACTCAAGTCCCCACCAATGTATAGTTTTGCCAGACCTTATCAAATGGCACATATGTTCAAAAGCAAAAGGTGGTTAAGACAGAATAGCAAAGGAAATAACAAGAAATTGAAGCAGGCAATAAACATTTTCTAAATGAAGGATTCCCAACCTGTTTTGTGTGGTGGATCTCTTTGGCAGTCTGCTGAAGGCTATGGATTCTTTCTCAAGATAATGTTTTTAAAGACATTAGATAAAATACACAGAATTAAAAAGAAAATCAATTTTTTAGGAATGACTTTGATAAATTAGGAGATCAGGAAACTAGATGCCACAGTGAATAGCACACTGGACCTGGAATGAGGAAGACCTGAATTCAAATACAACTTCAGACGCTTAGTAGCAAGTCTACTTCAGATTTCCCATCTGTGAAATAGGAATAATAATAGCAACTACCTCCCAAGGTTGTTGTGAGGACTGAGATTAATATTTGTAAGGTACTTAGCACAGTGCCTGACACATAGTAGGCACTATATAAGTACAATTATAATTATAATAATTATTATTTGGAGGGCTGTGCACTGAGTAAAAGCTGCAAAGAGAAAAAGGTTTAAGGACAAATTAAAGATTTAGAGCGAGAAGGAACCTTAGAGATCATCTAGCTCAACTTCCTCTTTTTTTTTTAAACAGATGTGGAAATTTGTTCCCGAAGTTGTGACTTGCCTAATAGGGTCACAGAGCTAGGATTTCAAACCAGATCTTTTGATTCCAAATTCAATACTCTTTTCTAGGAAAATTTCTTAATTTTAGATAATCCTAAAGTTATCCAAAAGTAGAATGGTCAAAGGCTAGATGACCATTGTCAGGTATGTTGTAGAAAGGATTCAGGTCCTTGAAGTCCTTCCCAAATCTGAGATTCTGTGTATTTGAAATAATGCATGTTTCATTTGGAAGTATTTGGAATTTTAAAATGGCAAGGTACTATTAAAGAGTTACTCCATAGTCAACTAAATTAACCACTCATGAAATAAAATTAAATTTTGGATGTTTTGAAAATTCTTAGGTTACAGCCTATACATAGAACATCAAAAAGGTACTGTTTAAAATCAAGATTTATGATCAAATGTATTTTTATATTTTATTCATGGTTTTTCATAATGATAGTTAACAAAAATAATATCTAATATTTTCCTTTAAAATAATACAAGGAAATAAGAATCAAATAATTTTTGAAGTTCACTTTAAAAATTTTATAACTATTTCATTTTAACTGTTTCAATGTAATTCATATTTATTACATATGATATACCATATTTTACATATTTTGTATGAATATTATACATTCCATATTTATTTTTCTCAGGAGGCTTATTTGGAAAATTAGAAGGAGAAGATACTTTTACATTCCCATTTTCATCAGAACCTTCAACTCATACATTTGGAGATGGAAAAGATGACTTTAGTTTTTCATTTTCATTTGGACAGGATCAACACTCATCACATTCTTCCTCTTCAAACAGTTTTCCATCTTCACAAAATTCAAAACAGTTTACTTTTTTTTGAATTCATGATTGTGCTACCCAAGAATTTACAGTATGATTTTAAATTCTTACTGGAAAATATAAACATTGTTTCTTTTCTTCCCCTTTCAGTTGATGTAGTAATGCATTACTGTTGTTTTATGAGATTATATTGATTTGAATTTGGAAAAAAGTCTTTGTTATTAAATTTTATATCTATGGTATTGGTTAATTATTACTTATATTAAATGTGATTCTATGGTTCTAATTAAGTCAGAATTACATTCACTTCAGCAGATATTAGTGATAAGTATTGAGCCTGATTGGACCCATCCCACTGTGGTGGTATATTATGTGCTTTGAAAGTAGCGTAATTCTTTCAAGGCCACTGTAGTATTGCTTAGTGCATCCCTGCACAATGTTTATCAGTGTTGTCAAACACTTAGGCACTAGTGAACTGGGGGCATTTCTGCTTCTAAGTGCTGTCAAGTGGTGCCCTTGTGTTATTCAAAAATGAATGTGCCTCCAATAATCTAACTTGTTACCAAGAAGTGATTTAAGCACTACAGAAAAAAAGAGCTTATGTAATTTTTGGTAGAGAAAATGGAACAAGGAAGAATAATTATTTTAATATTTTTATAGTCAATAAATTAAATGAAACATATTTTGGTAGAATTGGTGAAAATTCAGGAAATTATATTATTGTGCCATTAGTGAGATTGTTAACATACTAATTATATTCTGTGTGGAAGCCCTGTAAAAACTATATTCCTTGTGTTAATTTACTAAGGACTGATTATTCTTTATGTTTTATATACAGAATTTATAAATATGGTTATGTCTGGTTTAAATTAAAATACTTGAGACCATCAATTTTTATCAGCATAATCTGTCATTTAGTACCTTTAGTTTATGTGTAATTCTTTCAGAAATTTCCTGCCTAGAATATTTTTTTCATTAACTATATTAATTAACTACATTAACTATATTACATTACATCTTGTGGGTGATTTAGCTAATGTTGGAAAGCCTTTAGGAAAATGGGAAGCTATGTTAAAAGATAACAGCAATATAAACTTTGAAAAGTGAAAAATTCAGTCCATTAACTTACTATTTTTGTTTATAAGATGCATAGAATTTGGTGTGATTTACATTTTGACTGAGGTAAATAAATAGTTTGATGCTAGGAAGGCATAAAATATGGTGGCAATATAGTGTGATGGAAAGCACACAAATACAGAAGACTGAATTTGGAACTAGAGGATATATAGTAAAATTCTGTCTCTGCTACTAATTATCTGGATAGCCTTTGAAAAGTCATTTAAACTTTGTGAACATTCTTCAATTATGTAAATGAAGGCAGTGGAAGTAAATTATATCTAGGGTCCTTTCCAGCTTTTTTTTTAAATTGATGATTGAAGTTATAAGATTTAGAGCTGGGTCCAGGAACAGATCCAGACCAATGGGTAGCTAAAATGAGGATTCATCGGTCAGTTATGCAGCATCTGGAGTGAACTTGGGACCCCTGCTGTGCAGAAACTTAAGTCTGAGCCCACTATCCCCAAGCAGGATAGTAGGATAGGGGAGAGTATGCTCTCCGAAGTATTGAGGGGAAATGTTTGTGCTTTTGACCTTGCTACATCTTCAAATCAAATATAACCTTACAAATAGTCTTTGAAACACAGATGTGGTGGCCACATTAAAAAAAGATTAGCCATTTTAAAGTCAACCAGGAAGTCATGGAGAAAGCAACAGAAGTCTACACTAGGCTCAAATCAAGGATCCTGGGACCAGAGGTTGAAGCAAAATAGAACACTAACAAACCTGCCTTGGAGAAGGTCAAAGCAGAGGTGAAGAAGAGTGACGATCAATTGGCAGGAGGGGTGGCCCGCAAGGAGAAGACAGAGGAGGAGCCTAATGCTGATCTCGCAGCTCTGGTGAGTAGTAAGTCTACAACCCAAAAGGAGAAGAAATGGTGAGGAAAAAGAATGAGAAGAATGACAGAATATGGGAGAGGAGCAAAGATACAGCTCGTCTGAAGACCTGCACAATGACAGCATTCAAGAGGATCCAGCATTGGACAGGCCAGGGAATGACTAGCAGGAAACAGTAGGTTCGGATAGACTTGGAGTCCCTTGACGAGGAAAGCTGAGGTCCTGGGCGTGCTGCTCCTGACCTCTGCCTGGCCCTGTGTTTGAGCCCCTTCACTAAGTTACATAGTAGGTGATGTTTAGGTCTTGTTCCCCTTCTGTCCCCAGACTCCTGTAAAAGCTGAGAACCTTTGGGAGATGCTGTGCTCTTTAGTTGTATTTGTCCCCTTGGGGTCTTTTCCCTCACCTAATTTCTGTGATTTCAAAACAACATGAACTGAATATAAAGGGATTTTTACTGAAAAAAAGTAATGAAGAAAATTTGTGTTAATCGATGTTAACTGGCTAACTGGAACTAGGGTATTAGCTATGCAATACTGGCTTGCAGTGAAATGGGGCAGGAGGACACAATCATTAGGTGCTTCAGTCTATAACATTAGAGAAGAGATACCCCAACCCCTGCTTCTAGAGCTCTGAAGGGGAGATATAGTTGGCCTCATTTAGGATAAGTGAGGCCAGAGAGAGAAAAATGAAAATTTATTAAACTCTTACTATGTGACCAGGCATTGTGCCAAACCCTGGGGATGCAAATAAAAGAACTCAAGAAAGTTCTTACTCTCAAGTAGCTTACCTTCTAATCAGAGAAAATAACACAAGAGAGGGGAACTGGGGAAATGGAAATAGGAGGATGGGATACACGCATGCAGTAATATGTTTGGAAATACCCTAGAAGCGTGATAAAGACTTGGAACAGAGCAAGATAAGGCCAAAGTTGGACTTTCAAAATCCAGGGCAACTTCAGTGGTGGAGTTCATTCTTAGGTGGGAAGGAGTAGAGATGATGGTCTGAGTGGAGTGGAGTGCAGTTGGCATGCCTGGAGATATCCAGGAAGCTTATGTTTGACAATATTCCCCCAATGGGGTCATTTAGCCTTTGCTTGAAGACTTTGAATGAGAAGGAATTCTTAAGGCAACCCGTCACACTTTTGGATATTACTAATGGTTAGAAAATTTTTCTTTATGTTGAACCAAATCTGCCTCTCTGTTCTTCCACCCACTGCTTCTGGTTGTGTCTTCTGGGTACAACCAGAACAAACCTAATGATGTTCAAATACAGAGACTTAGGAGAATAGCTATTTTATCTCTTCTAAGTTTTCTCATCTCAAGTCTAAACATCACTACTTCCTTCAACTAATCTCAGATCATTCCAAGAGAAGTCTTGAAGGGAAATTAGAATACTAGGCAGGGTTCCAAGGTATGGATTTGGATACAGTAAGACAGGGATCCAGTTTGTGGAAACGGGGTATGAGGAAAGAGCTTGGTCACAACCAACAAGGCTGAATTATTGGGACCAGAGTATAAGGTCAGAGTTGGACCAATAGCAAGGTTGACTTGATGGTATGTCCCCTGAACTATAAACTTGTGGCTTCTTATATTCCTTTTGGATGGTCTCAGAGATTGGGGTGGAGTTTAACTGAAAACTTGCATTAAATGGTCTCAGGTTTGAGAACTAAATTTACAGGGGAGAGAGTCACAATGTCCCCTGAGAGCAGTAGTGGGGTGGAGTGCTGTATCTGTTAAAAGATGAAATAGAAAACTTCTGGCTTACCCCTCTTAAAATAATAATAGGTAGCATTTATAGTACTTTAAGGTTTGCAAAGTGCTTTGCAGATATTATCTCATTTGACCCTCAAAACAACTTTGGAGGTGTATTATTATTCTCATTTTACAGATGAGGAAATTGGGGCAGACTTTCCCAGGGTCACATAGTAAGTGTCTGAAGTTGGGTTTGAACTCAGGTTTTCCTGACTCCAGGTCCTGTACTTTGTCCACTGTTTTTTAGGTGCAAAATGTGATTCCAATGAAGGATTGGGAAAGCCAAGGTCCCTCTCTCATATAGTCTCCTGGTGATCTTGGCCACATGGCAGCTAGTGCTATAAAGCTAAAATTATGCAGATTTGCTCCTGGTTCTCTAGCATTCTCTTGTGTTTACTTCCTTGAGTAGATGACCTTGTGAGTTAAAAGGTTCTGGAGATGGTAGCATCCACTAGATTGGTTGATTGCAGAGACAAACAGTTGGTAGAAGCAGCCTGGCAGTAGGGGACACTTCTACGTTGGATATGATGGCTATTGACAAAGATTTGTTTAAGCTTTGCCCATGTCACTAGCAGCCAAGTGCCAGGACTAATGGAAGTGCAGTACTAAGGTAGAGTATAAAATACCTGGAATAATAGTGTTACGAAACTGCTTTATGTTCTAAAGAAGCTTAAATATTAGCTTACTGGCCTATTGAGCTATCATTATTGTAAATTATTTAATGCTATTAATTGTTAATATGCATCAGGATTCTTCCACGTATTGAATTTCTTTATGTATAGGAATAAAGCTGGCTTGAAGCTTAACATCAAAAAACCCCAAAAAATCTAAGATCTTGGCAACTGGTCCTATCACTTCCTGGCAAATAGAGGAAGAAAAAACGGAAGCAGTGTCAGATTTTATGTTCTTGGGCTCAAAGATTACTGCCAACAGTAACTGCAGCCATGAAATTAAAAAATGCTTGCTCCTTAGAAGGAAAGCTGTGTTAAATCTGGACAGCATACTAAAAAGCAGAGACATCACCTTGCCGACAAAGGTCCATAGAGTCAAAGCTGTGGTTTTTCCAGTAGCAATGTGTGACTGAGAAACTTGGACTGTAAGAAAGCTGAGCACTGTAGAATCAATTCAGTTGTGGTGCTGGAGAAGACTTTTGAGAGACCCTTGGACAAAATAGGGGGTCAAATCAATCAATACTTAAAGAAATTCATTCAGGCTATTCACTGGAAGGTCAAATACTGAAGTTGAAGCCTAATTATGTTGGCTACATAATGAAATGACAGAACTCATTGGAAAAGACTCTAATGTTGAAAAAGATTGAAGGCAAAAAGAAAAGAGGACAGCAGAGGATGAGATAGATA